ATAATGGTTGTATCAGTATACACCAAAACAGTAGATTATGCTATAATAATTATGAAATCATTATCAATGATAGGTGCTTATACTTGTCGCAATACAAATATCAGTAACATTTTTTCTTATAATGCTCATGGCAATACCGTAATTTACACACCCAATAACGATAATAATAATGTTTGTCTATATTGTAGTGGTAAGAAAAATCAAAATAGCGGTCAATTGATATCGTCCATTATCGCTGGTGTATTCATGTATGTTATGTCAAGATTGTTTTGCAGATGATTCATAAACTGTATGATAACTTACTTGAATATAAGATGGTGATTGAATATTTCGACTAAATAGCAGGGTTATCTACTTACTTATTAACTCCCGTTTCTTCTTATAGAGCATAGGCTGCCGACCTGAATTCTCTAGTCAGCTCTGTTCTGTGCCTCTTATACTGGCTCTTATTCATTCTTCTCATATATGTCTACACTTTTCGGCATAATAGGCGCATTCATTTTCCTATTTCGCTTTGCCCTTGAAAAGTGCACGTGAAGACGTGACTTGTGATTCAGTTGGGTGATTTCCTCAAAGTCTGTCTCATCCACTTCTAGCGATTCTTTATGGTTTTTCCCTCCACTGGAATCCGGATTGTTCTCTCCTTCAATAGGTTGTTGCTGATGATGTTTGACGGACGTATCCGAACTATTTTACGTATACGTACACGTAATACATATCCCAGCCATATCAACTTATGAAGTTTCACTACTTCATCAATTGATTCACCATCTATAACTTGTTCCCGTTTTTAAACAACTGCATTAATTACTCAGTGGTCCCAGTATATCTTTATTTGTACATATTTTCCATAACACCGCGTGGATAACGCAACACTTCGTGAAGCGAATGATACAGGGTTCGAGTCCCATAATGAAACTCAACTCCTGTATCAACGTACATCCAACTGACAGGTCCTTAATAGAACTAAACGCGCGTGAAGCTGGATTCCGCTCCTAGCCAACATCCAACTTTACCTACAATGCTTGTGCATTAAGTAAATATCGAGGCAGTCCTCACAGTATGCACACATGCCAATTAGAAACTGATCACCTGTTGTTCTAAACATCAATGAGAAGATTCAAGGAAACACCAATACTAAGTGAATTCAATCCTAACCGTGGATTCGTTAGAATTCGTCAATGGTGATTAATATTTAGGCAAAATGATTAAGATTTATGTGGGGAATAATATCAATTATGAATTGAATAGTTTCAAATAAACTGTAGGCTGGCTAAGAAGTGGATTGTTGTCCCACTTAGTGAGTAGAAAAATCGTAATTCCGATGTTTCATCAGTTTATGTAAGCCACTTCTTCAGAGAAAATAAATGACGTAAACATATTAAACCAGAGTTTAAATAGTACAATCAAAATAATGCAGTTTAAAAATCATATTAGATCTGAAAATATCATTGTTTAATGACACTGGCAAAAAGGCCACTATATAATGAGACATAAATAGAATTCTAATAATCGGAGATACTGATGATTTCATAGTTGTGAGATTACAATTTATGAACGACCTTTAAACGGATCTTAACTGACCTTGTGTACTAATAGCTAGCCAGTAATCCATTGGTATAGAGTAAACATATATTATGCAAAACTAAAGAATTTAAGTGAAGACGTTCAGAGGTTCTGAAGTTGTAAAAAATACGGGAAAAGAATTCATTCATACGGCTGCCTTATAGTAAGGCCTCTTGAGCCATATAGGTCCAATTTCACTTGTGTTCACTCCAGTTGTCAGGTCCACGAAATGTTACTTATGTGTAACGACACGGTAATCATATCTAAGTCTATGTAAGCATCAGTTTTCAATCAAAGATAAGATCTTGCCCACCCTCATAAAAAATTTATTCTAGAAATTAGATCGTGACACGCTCTGTATTGAATAGTTCTCTCGTGAAATATTGACCCATATCAAGGAACACGTAAGTTACACAAAAGATTCTGTAATAATCTTGTGGAGTCGGAATATCTACAAGTTAAACTAACAATAGCTGTAGATGCTGTTATCATCCCCGGCATGTTGTGATTTTATTTCTAAGATTTCTCCACCACCAAACATGTTATTACATACTTAATTACCTACCGAGTAAAAATATCTGGTTATTTCCGTTGCCATTCGTTCGATCTTCTCGGTCTCCGAAATAGTCTAGGTACTCCATTTACCTATAAAAATTGCTACTCTGGTTGTTGGAAGTAAAATTGGCTTCGTGACATCTTATGGATTTCGACTTTCAACGTAAGGCTTCATATGTCTTTTTTGAGACTGGAGAACAAAATTTAAATTCTTTAACTTGTTTATTCTGCTTAGCGTTTCTTCAACAAGCTTGTTTTCTACGAGATAGGGTTGACGATTCCACGCCAAACATTCTTCCGTCCCCGAACTACAAACTGGCATGAGCCTTAGAATAGCCACAGCCGAATTTAATCATGTTATGCTCAACAGATATTTCTGTTTTATTTTGTAGTTTGATTGCATTTGTAATAGCTCTATTGATTGCTCTCGTGAAGAAAATAAATGAAAAATATCCACTGAATGTCGCGCTTGTAATTATTTATGTAAGAATTTCTGATAATGTTTTTACATTTAATTTGCTAGTCTGTTTAATATAATCCAACATAATAAACGATACGTAAATAAGAACAACTGTACCGCTTGTTGATAATAATCCGATACGACCGTTTTTTATGACAATGAAGAGGCTTGTGGAAGCGAAATGCTGACTGATCTACAAGTTGATTAAGAACTTCAGCTCTTCCTCTGAAAATTCTCTCACATGTTCACGCATATACAGCCGATCCCACAGAAGTCTCACTCATTGCCTTCTCGAGGTGCGGGTGTTGTCTACGAAACTGAGATGAAAGTAAATGCTCAATGCTTTAACTAAGTTGACGGGTATGGTGGACCCACCCAGGTGAGATCAAAATCCCAGATTTCAAACCGATGTTGCGCATGGGCTTTATGATCCAAAAGGACCGAATGGCTTATGAACCAGTCGTTGGTCACCGGCCACCATGAGACCGCATCTCGTAACCAAGTGTGTGAAAAATGATATAGACATTTTTGAGAAATGAATTCATACCTTCATAAAATGTTATTATAAGGATTCATATACAATACAAGCACATATGAATGAATATGTATTTTAATAAAGCTGTAATATTCTTTCTAATTTTTCAGTCTGTTTGCATGGCATTAGCATTAGGAGTTTGGAACACACAGTTAAATGCTCTTGAAAGATTGATTGTCTTTGGAATCAGTTTGGTATTATTCACATGTGCATTATTGATCGGTGCGGCGATTAAAACAAATTTGTTTGATCATTTAATGAGTATTCTGATATCTTTTTCCGTTATATCTCTTGTCATCGTGATAGTCGCGGTTGTGCTCATTGCTTTGAAACAATGCAAGGTAGTTTAGTGAGCCAAATTATTTGATTCATAAGTGACGTCATTCTGATTGAATATATATTTTTCTTTCATCGTATTGGATGATAGTTTTAAACCTCAAACTGTTCACTGTAATCTACTAAGCAAGTAACCAACGTCTCTAAACATTTGGATTCTGAGTAAAATCGATCAAAAGCCCAAAAACTTCCGTTTGCTGAACTCGTAATTTTAGAAGATATGCAGAGTATTCGGATGGTATAATTTATATCATGTAGTGATTGAAATAAGAGACCTGGCAAGTGGATTTGGCAGATCACTTATTCAGTATTGTGATATCCCTTCTAATAATATCTGTGTCATTGTGATAGTTGCGGTTGTGCTCATTGCTTTGAAACGATGCAAAGTAGTATATTGAGCTTAATTATTTAATTCCTCAATGACGCGATACTGATTGAATTTAGTTTTATTTCATAACATTTAGAAGTGTTTACCATCATATTCGATTATAGTTTCAAACCTTTATCCGTTCGATTTAATGGAGTTAGTAATTAACCGACATTTGTAAATATTCGCATTCTGAGTAAAATCGACCAAATGTCCAAAGTGTTTTGTTAGCTTAAGTTGTAAATTTAGATGATATGCAGAGAATTCGTCTGGTATGATTGATAACATGCAGTGCTTTTGTCTTATGATTGAAATAGTAGACCTGGCAACTGGTTGCGATGTCGACCTGAATATCAGAATGAGCAATTTATGTGGTCAAGGCAAAGTAGCGGCATACAGTGCTATCTTAATAAAGTTTAGAGTTGTTTTGTAAGATAATAAAGATCAAATCCACAAATCATTCTGTCTATTGGAAGGTAAGCTTCGGTTTTTCATAGTTTGATATCCTACTACAAGACATGCATTTTTCTAGCATGTCAATTAGTCTTATTTAAAAAAATTTAGTATCTTCACACTCGTATCACATTGGATGTTACTTTCGGTTTAAAGAATGTTCTATGATCGTCTCTTTAGTGTAACCCCGAACATGCATAGTCCACCTCAACATATAGTTAAGTTCAGATATCAAAATGAATAAATAATCATTTAAATAAATGTATCAGGATCAAAGCTTACCACGACAGCTTTCCTGTAACTAATATAAGTTACATGTTTATACGAAATACACAAGCTAGATGCAATATACGTTTCATGGCACACATTGGCATAGATGCGGTTAACGTTGCTGTCATCTTAATAAAAACACAACATCCATCCTATTCATCAGTTTCCCATTTAAATTCCTTTCAATCCAAAACATAAGGCAGACCAATTGATCAAGCTGATATAGAACGAACCCTGAAATCAGTACAAACAGATATGTACCGCTCTCCGCAAGGTAACATAAAGAGTGTTGTATCGGATTTACCAAATCATATATGAGATAAAGACGATTGAAATTGACCTATCTTCCAGAAGTACATAATGGCATAATCCTACAAAGTCATGTTTGAGTATTGTTTAATGTAAATATAATGTTGAATTGTCGAGATCAATTCACTGAACCATCTTTTTGTTTTCAGTATCAAACGATCGGTGTTTACGTAGGTGCACAAATATCATTGTTCGTTGTGAGTTGAATTGATGTACATTTTTGTTGATTGAATGATCCCTTTGAAGTGTGAATAAACCATTTATCAAATAAATCCTGTAGTGCCTTATAGCGATCTGTACTCAAAATGATTTACATATGATATGATTCTATGTAGAGAGACAGCGATATCCTGATGGATAAGCCATTCTGATGAAAAACTGTGGTGACCAATGAAGTTCATTCTATGTGGGGTGGAGAAAGTTATCTAACTCAGACAATGGATGACGTGTTGCGTAACCATTCATTGATCGATAGAAGTTAGATATTTACAGCGTAAAGTATAGGATCAGTGGAATAGAGATCGAGCACTTGCGCGGGAGACCTAAGGTCCTGTATTTGAATGGCGCATGTCAATAAAAACTTATAAAAAAGGGACATATTGCCATATAATTTGACATGGTTCAACAGTTGTATATACCTACATCCCACATTTGTTTTCACTTTGATATTCGAACCCGGTAATGTTCGATCAAAACATAGCTACTCGTTTGTGCGATGAAGTGAAGTTTAAATTCACTTAATATTGCACAATCAAATGGCTTATGGAACTCATTTTGTGAACGGATGACGCAAAGGCGTATGAGGCAAAAGGTTACTGTGTTTAAGGTTCATATATTCAAGTAAATCCAGTTGACGAGTCCTAAATAGGACGATATTCAAGTCTTGGATTTCAATACCAACCACTGTTCATCTTTGCTTAGAATACTTGTGAAATAAAACAATATAGTGGCAATTCTGAAATAATGCACATATGTAAATAAAGAGAGAGGCTGATCAATCAAATTTGCAAACACTAATGGCAATATTCAAGTAAACAATAATCGATAAATTTTACAAAGAATTTCAGCTGAAAAACTGTACTGATGTCATTTTTGCTAATATTTCCTTTGTACACAAGAAGTATCGTCGCTTATTTTAATTTGTACATCGAATTATGCATATGCAATCCAAGCTCATGATTGTTTGACGCAGTTAAATTTACGAGTAAATTTAAACTACATTGCCGCTGAAAACATTGGAGCACTAAATAGCCGTTTCACCCTGAAACGAGACTTTTCAAAAGTAATCAATCACAATCCCGAACACGGCACTCGATCTTAGGACCATCGATCTCATATTCAAACGCCTTACCTTTAAACAGTGGTTCCGAAACAATCACAGATGCGTACTAATGAAGAGTTCCATACTACGACGAAAAAACCGTCCACTATTTCCAGGATTTCAATGATCCATCTAACTCAAACCCGTCGATTCAACTATTCACTTTACTACAATCGTTATACTGATGAATGTTTTATTTATTTTACAGATAACAATATTTATAAGTTATTTAACTGTTGGCAAATCGAGATATCTTCTATTATATCCAAATTATTCATTGGCAGCCATACTATTATATACAGTATTCTTTTCAACTTTATCAATCAATACGGATATCATCAATGTAAACAAGAATGAAAGTTGTATATTTCAGTTCCAAATGACAGAACATTGAAGGTCAACTCTGGATCAACGCGAACCTTGTTGTTGTTGATTGAACCTGGAATCAGTTGAAAACGTGTGTGTGTTTGTGCAAACTGCTTACATTTTTTAAATTTTTATTCTAATGGATTACAAAGTAGCGTATATAAAATGATTTAAATGACTGTTATCCAACGTCACTTTTGATTGTTTTTTTTTAGATGAGGATTACGGGAAAAGTACGTTGTCATTAAAGTAGTTGTAAAACGTGAGGTGACTTCCTGGCGTAGTGATGAGAAGCCATGACCAGCTGATTGGAATCCATGTGTTCACCTCAGACAATGAATGATGGGTTAAGCGAAATCTCGAATAAGTATTATATGAAACGATTCATTGTCATTAGAGTATTTATTATATACGTGATTTATCATCTTCATTTATGTTTGCATTCATGAATGTAAAATTGTAATCCCATCTATAACGTTATCACAAAGTGTACTAACATGTTGAATTACAGCTCTGTGTGTACTATTATTGAAATATTCATTGAATTATGTCATCTGATAGAGATGCAAACATCGTAGCAAATCTACTACACAGATCTCTGTGAAATGAATTCATCTAATCGATAGTTTGTAATGAGGACGGAATTAAGTAAATATATTATTCGGCCGACAGAGCAATCTAGCACATAAGCGGTCAAGTGCGAGACCGATAGGTCCTGAGTTCGATTCTCAACTGATAGGATCCTGGATTCTCAAAACTATGACCAAACAGCTTTCGGGTATTTCACACTGGTCAAGCTTCAATTGCTCATGAATTCATTATTGATCAAAATGAAATGAATGAAATACTTGAAATAATATAAAACATAAAGCCAGATCATGAAAAATTTATTACATTATTTTCTACAATTGGTTGTGTACGTTGATCGTATATTAATAGTATTGTGAATTATAATAATGTACCTTCTGAAAGTAAGCTTTGTTTTCCGCCCTGGGATGCCGGCTTAGCGGCCCAGAGATTAAGCGTTCACGCGCGAGACCGACTAGTCCTGGATTCAAATCACACTTGATGGGATAGTGGCTGCGTCCTCCTGAGAAATAACACAATAAAACGAAACCGTCGTTTAATGCATCCAGGTGTTCTATGCTAGTGTAGCTTTAATTGGCTCAAGAATTAAACTGTTAAATAAATATGAGTTGATCATTATTGACCGAAAACATCTAACAAACATTCAAAGTAACTCCGATACTTTCATTTCATGAGAATCTAGTATGAGCTATATCTCATTCAGAATCAAGTGATTCACTTGTCTAGGGTGTTTCAAGTAAATCAATCTTGTTAGTTACCAACACTTATTGACAAACCACATGATTGAATAATTACCACAAATTAGTAAGCCACTATACGCTCTGATGTAATACTTAAAACACTAGAACAATGATCGCTTACAGAAAGCGTTTCTCTGAAAATATCAAAACAGTATTTTATGTGAAATAAAATGTGTCATCAATGTTCCGAGAATAATCCAGTGCATCATGCTTCACTGTTATCGGCAACGTTCCATCATGATGTTCAAAACGACGAGATGTTTTAATATGGGCGTTACACATAGATCGATATAACCAAAGGAGTAGATGTTAAACAGCTTTTCAGTACCTTCTGTCCAAGGATTTCTCATCACCTTATGACTCACTAAAGGCGTTCATTCATTTCTATTGGTGTATTATCATGTGTAATTATAGAAGTATGTGAAGAAAAGAAGTAATCAAATTTATTAACCATCTAATAGTGCTCAGAAATGTCCAATGGCTTCAGTTCTCATTCTCATTTTAATCTGTACTTAAGTCTGAGAGTACATTTGAAGATATCGTCTTCAGAATAGTTATCGCTGCATATCAACATCATGTAGTCATCCCATTCAATAAATAGCTAATGTGGAAATAGGTGACGATTTTATTTCAGTATGTTGCACTTTCGGGATGATATACATCAGACTAACTTCGTTATAGTGATATATCATCTATAATAATGATGTAAGTACAGATATTGTCAGTAAAAATGAAGACTGAATTATCCAATATTACTTATCCCATTGTTATTTCCTCTAGAATATGGTGAAATAAAAATACACTCTGAAACCCGTCGTTTCTTAGTAGAGGGCATATAATAAAGAAGGAAAAATTAGTTGAAATCTTAAGAATATGTCTACTACCTGCCTAATGTGTAATGTTTGATTATTCATTAAATGTACTTCCACAACTGAAAATACTCATTGTTGTGACAAAATATAAGTAAATATTTGAGCTGGCCCACTTGCTTTCTTCTCTCCACTCCTCTTCACTTTGCTTTCCCATTTCAAATTCTGACTGTCTGTCTTGATAAACGATTATTTTAGACAAATTCTTACAACGTAACTTATATTTGGCTTGTTATGATCACTTTCATACAAACGGAATCGATCAAGATAAAATATCGAGTTAAATGAAACATCTATGTACATATAATTTTATTACGATCAAACTGGTGACAGGCAAAAAAATATTTAAAACTTATCATTTTGTTGAAAACCATACGATAACTATGACATTGGGTCAGCTGAATTCTTGGAAGTAAGAAATATTGTAAAGACTTCGAAATAATCGAATGTTGATTAACGATCGGGTTACATTAAGTCAATAAAGTAAATATAACAGAAGGCATTTTATTGGATCCGATTGTAAGTTTAAGAGTTAGGATCATCAGTTAATTGATGTTAGACTACAATAAAAATCCCACAAAAAGTGGATGGTCGTTTCATCCAATTATGGGACTCCAATGCAGTGCATATCCATGATTCGAACACTAAAACTATCTGTCTTGCATCGTCCAGTGCTCTCAGGTTTTCCATGTTGATCTAGCTTGTATTATTTCATGATTGACTGATTAACTCAACTAATAAAATGAATAAAAATAGCCAGTAAATTGTGCCAGATGCATTTGAAGTTCATTTTCGAATAAAAAGAACACTTTTTCAAAAGAAATTGGAATTCCGTTAGAAAAACCACTCACACTTCATTATGTTTTCAAATGTGAATAGTTGACCTGTTAAGTTAAAGTCGCTCTTCAATGTTGCAAGAGTCAATGATAAGTACATAGGAATGAACTCGAAATCTACAAATTAACAACCATTTACACGTGGTTAATCAAATTTATGCAACCATTTCACTAATCAACCAAACTAAGAATAACTTAGAGAATTTACACTTCAATGTTTTGAATGGTTTGAATGGTTCGGTTTCTCATGTTCTTGTCTGAAACATAATTGATTCGGTGTCATAATTCTGCCGTCACTTTTTTATATTAACTCATTTCTATTCAATAATTGTGCTGACCGTCATACTATACGAAGTATAAGTTTATACTGGCGACCCACTTGAATATCCAAGTTACGCGTTTTAATCATCTAGGTATCTCAACAAATTTCTTGTCTTTTTAATTCATTTGATGTTGTTTTACTTATACGATCCCTTTGTTATTTAGGACTGCAGTTGATGGAGTCCTTGAATGAACATCAACTCTGAGATGTAGATACATCCATCTGATTAGTCCTTTATAGAACGAAATATGTATCGAACTGGATAGCACTACCAAACGCTATCCACCTTTGCTTAAATAATTTGTTTTTAGTTTTTTGAAACACATCACTATGTTTATGAATACCATAATCTATTCAGGCGCGTTTATGACAAGTTTACGACCTGTCACTGTACAACCTACAAAAACGCACGATCAGAGACATGTTGATTGACAGGCAATATACATGTAAAATAATGAACATTGATTCCGATGATGATTTCCGAACTGCTGACATCCAACTTACGATCATCAAAATCATTCAAGAAATAAGAGCAGAAAGCTTTTTGGAATTGTGTTCGTTATATTGGTAACTATTTTATAAATAAGGGTCATTTACATTACGTTTCTGTATTTGAAATGTGAAGAAACAAACATGCAAAGTAAATGAAAATGAGAAAAAATATTAAATTTTTAATAGAACCCATATTCATTCATATGGATGTTGATAATATTGTTTTAAGCTGGTATTAGTGTATGTTTTCTTCGAATTTGTCTGCATAAATTTTGGGAACTGAAGCAAAGAGTACCAGTTCAAATACCTTCATTCTTCAGGAATTTATGTAACTTTCATTTTATTATCGGGATCACCGAGCCGACAGCCAACTGCGTTAATGTCTAACCGTGATAGAGATCGTGGATGCACATGGATGAGGAATTTGAAAATAGGACGAAACGGCCGTTCAGCGCGTTCACCTTTTCAAGGATGAGCCTAAATAATTTGGTTCATGATGTCAATCAATATTGTAATAATCTTCACAACTACAACTCTCATTTAGACGTTAAATACATGTTGTTCAAAGAACGAATCTTAGATTTTTTGCAACGAGTTGATCATCAAGATTGTATATATAAAGTTTCATATTAACAGGTGTTAATTCTGTTTTTATCGTGTAAATTTTGAGAATTTCTGCTAGAATGATTAACGGTGTGTGTATATGTGTTAAGAGCTCAGTGTAGTCAATTATTATGATGAGTAATGAATAAAGCTATGGAAAAATGATGAATTATTAAAAAGGGAAAGAGATTTTACTGAATTCGAAATCTTACTTACTTACTTACTTACTTACGCCTGTTGCTCCCAATGGAGCATAGGCCGCTGACCAGCATTCTCCAACCCACTCTGTCCTGGGCCTTCTTTTCTAGTTCCATCCAATTCTTGTCCATTTTTCTCATATCTATCTCCATTTCCCGGCGTAATGTATTCTTTGTCTTCCTCTCCTCCTTCGACCTTGAGGATTCCATG